TTGGGGTCAGAATGATAGAGGGGTTAAAAAAAAAAAAAAAAAAAAAAAAAAAAAAAAAAAAAAAAAAAATTTGGTTTCTTGTACAAATGTGCAGGTTGTGCTAGGCAGTGAAGTGGAAGGGTCCTCTCATCCTGGTAGGACACCAGAGCACCCTCCAAAACTGTTGTGACGTTATCTTAGATTTATTACAGCTTAATTTGTAGGTAAATAAGGAATGATTGCAACTGGGGGTTCTGCCCTCAGGTGCCAACTCGCAGAGTTCCAGAATCGTTTGGGTTGGGAGAGACCTTCAGGCTCCTTGAGCCCATCCGTTGCCCAGCAGAGCCAGGCCGCGTCCCTGGGCCCTGCTGCCCCCGCAGGCATCATCTCGGGCACCTCCTCCAGAACCCCCATTCTTGGTGGTTCTGCCCAAACCTGGTTGGTGGGTGGTGGGGGCTGAAGCTGCTCCTGAGGGGTCTCGTGTCCTCCTGCCCAGGCGTGGTCACCAAGATGAAGATGCAGCGCACCATCGTCATCCGCCGCGACTACCTGCACTACATCCGCAAGTACAACCGCTTCGAGAAGCGCCACAAGAACATGTCCGTGCACCTCTCCCCCTGCTTCAGGTGGGTGGCACCGCCCTCTCCCGTCCCCTGTGCCCAGCCCCCTCCTCGAGGGCGGGGAGCTCCCAGCTCACAGTGCTCTCGCCGGCACTGGTGACGCCCCCGGTGACAGCAGCTGAACCGGGGCTGTCCTGAGAAAAGAGAAAAATTGGGATGATGGGTCTGAAGGGAATGTAGAGGTCACAGGGGATGGGAGGAGGTCTGAGGGGACAGAGGATGGCCCCAGACAGGGTGCGGTCCAAGGGGTTGTCCAAAGGGACAAGTTCCAGAGGGGACAAGTGATGAGGTCTGAGGGGCCAGGTCCCAAAGATGATAGTATCTGAAGGGACAGGGTCTCAAAGGGGACAAGGTCTGAAGGGCCCAGGGAAAGTGTCCAAAGTGGTCAAGCCCAGAGGGGACAGGTCCCAAAGTGTTTAAGTGATAGTGTCTAAGGGGACAGGGCTCAAATTGAGACAGGGGTTCAAGGGGGCAGGGGATGGCACCCAGAGGGGACAAGGTCTGAGGGGACAGGGGAAAGA